GAGTGGCGCCAGCATCCCAACTTCTCCTAGGGTGGGGCAAATTCCAGACCATCAGTCCCCCAGGGACCACCGGGCTTCTAGAGGCCGCCATATCAGCCCAGACAGGGGCAATTCCAGCAGCCACAGCAGTCTCTCTACCAGCCCATGCAGGGGCATGCTGCTCCTTCACACCCGCGACCTTTCCAGCAGCCAGGTGCAGCCCCTGCCGCCCCAGTGCAGAATGATCAGATGGCTGAACTGCGGGAATTGGTGGGTTCTCTCGCCAGTTTTAGTGCTCAAAAATTTAACACCATCGAGCAGTTCATGGAAAAGGCGTCGGGTAAATTCCTGGCTCTTGAAGCTGGCCAGAGGAACACACAGGCTGTCTTGCAGGATATCCAGACCCAGCTGGGGAGTGCAGCTCAAGCAGTGGCACAAAGGGCTCCTGGTACCTTGCCCGGTCAGACCATTCCTCACCCTCAGAACCCGAATGAGCACTGCAATGCCATCATGACCAGGAGTGGCAAGATGACTGTTGATCCACCTGCTCGGGCACAAGAGAGAGAGGCCCCTGCCTCGACATCTCTAGTAGCTGAAGAAGAAGTAGAGAAGGAGGTTGAGGTGCCTGCACCTAAACCGCAACCAGTGGTGAAGGAGTATATCCCTAAACTCCCCTTCCCTATTCGGTTGCACAAAGACAGGCTGGAGGCAGAGTTCGAGAACTTCATAGCAATGCTTAGGAAGCTGAATGTCCAAGTACCTTTCCTGGAGGCACTATCTCAAATGCCTAAGTATGCGAAGTTCCTGAAGGATCTTCTCTCAAAGAAACAGAAGCTGAGCGAGCTGGCCACTGTGGAGCTCAGCGAGGAGTGCTCGGCCATTCTGCAGAACAAGCTTCCGCAGAAACAGAAGGACCCAGGTAGTTTTACTATCCCGTGCTCTATAGAGAATTTGCATGTAGAGAGGTCCTTGGCGGATTTAGGTGCTAGTATAAATGTTATGCCATATAAACTGTTTAAGAAACTAGGCCTAGGTGAACCCCGTGCTACTAGGATGAGCCTTCAATTAGCTTACCGATCTATAGTGCATCCTAGGGGCATAGTGGAAGACCTTCTGGTTAAGGTTGGCAAATTCAATTATCCTATTGATTTTGTGATTTTGGACATAAATGAGGATGTGAATGTGCCATTGATACTAGGAAGGCCTTTCCTGGCCACCGCCAAGGCCCTCATAGATGTGCATGATGGGACCTTAGTTTTGAGGGATGGTGACGAGCGAATATCGTTTTCAATTTCTAATACTCGTCCTGCTTCGTCACCTTTGCATGCTGTATCTCACCAGGAGCACGAGTTTGTCGTGTATCCTCCTGTGTTGCCTATTTTGCAGGATCCGCCTCCCATACCTTCGCCGCCACTCCCGTCCACTCCATCATCGAAGGAACAAATAGGGGAGGAGTGGCGGCCGAAACAGCAGGCAGCTAAGCCTGCTCGAAAGAAAGCCGGAGACCACTATGAGCTGGTCCCGCCCCCACCTTGGCCATCCGAGTATTCACTCGCTTGCATCCTGCCGGATGGCCAAGTTGAGTTGGCAAATGCTGGTGGCCACATTCGGCGTGTGCAAGGCCATGATTTGAAGTTGTACCTCAAGAGCGAGGTGGATCCGCTCTTGAAGGCACCTGCTCCTTCACCTTACTGAGCATCCACCGACTGGCGTCCAGCTAAAAGACGGTAAAGAAGCGCTTGTGGGGAGGCAACCCCACCTAGGTTTGCATTTTCTTACCTTTTTCTTTTTGATTTTTTTGTATTTTCTGAGTCTTGAGGGGTTGTTCACGAGTTGTATGTCGTTCTAGAGTGAAAATAGGTCATTTTCGGAGTTCTGGCAGCTCACACGGCCAGCCCTGAATGTCACACGGCCGTGTGGAAAATAATTTTGGCCGTGTGAGCTCTCGCAGAATTCCACACGGCCAGATGAGATGTTGGCACGGCCGTGTGGAAATTTGCCCTGGCCGTGTCTGCTCTCGCATAATTTGGCACGGCCACATGAACACTCGGCACGGCCGAGAGAATTTACTATCCCGTGCTCTATAGAGAATTTGCATGTAGAGAGGTCCTTGGCGGATTTAGGTGCTAGTATAAATGTTATGCCATATAAACTGTTTAAGAAACTAGGCCTAGGTGAACCCCGTGCTACTAGGATGAGCCTTCAATTAGCTGACCGATGTATAGTGCATCCTAGGGGCATAGTGGAAGACCTTCTGGTTAAGGCTCCACCGCCAAGGCCCTCATAGATGTGAATGTGCATGATGGGAATGTGAGGATGTGAATGTGCATGATGGGACCTTAGTTTTGAGGGATGGTGAGGAGCGAATAGCGTTTTCAATTTCTAATACTTGTCCTGTTTCGTCACCTTTGCATGCTGTATCTCACCAGGAGCACGAGTTTGTCGTGTATCCTCTTGTGTTGCCTATTTTGCAGGATCCGCCTCCCATACCTTCGCCGCCACTCCCGTCCACTCCGTCATCGAAGGAACAAATCAGGGAGGAGTGGCGGCCGAAACAGCAGGCAGCTAAGCCTGCTCAAAAGAAAGCCGGAGACCACTATGAGCTGGTCCCGCCCCCACCTTGGCCATCCGAGTATTCACTCGCTTTCATCCTGCCGGATGGCCAAGTTGAGTTGGCAAATGCTGGTGGCCACATTCGGCGTGTGCAAGGCCATGATTTGAAGTTGTACCTCAAGAGCGAGGTGGATCCGCTCTTAAAGGCACCTGCTCCTTCACCTCACTGAGCATCCACCGACTGGCGTCCAGCTAAAAGACGGTAAAGAAGCGCTTGTGGGGAGGCAACCCCACCTAGGTTTGCATTTTCTTACCTTTTTCTTTTTGATTTTTTTGTGTTTTCTGAGTCTTGAGGGGTTGTTCACGAGTTGTATGTCGTTCTAGAGTGAAAACAGGTCATTTTCGGAGTTCTGACAGCTCACACGGCCAGCCCTGAATGTCACACGGCCGTGTGGAAAATAATTTTGGCCGTGTGAGCTCTCGCAGAATTCCACACGGCCAGATGAGATGTTAGCACGGCCGTGTGGAAATTTGCCCTGGCCGTGTCTGCTCTCGCATAATTTGGCACGGCCACATGAGCACTCGGCACGGCCGAGTGAAATTCCTCGGCCAGCCCGTGTCGGCCGACACGGGCAAAAGCGCTTCTGACACGGCCGTGCGAGTCAGGCCGTGTGGCCGAGACACGGCCTATATATTCGGCCAGCACGGCAGGGTCGTCAGAAATTTCAAAATCCTCGCCGGAATCCTCTGAACCTCGCCTGAAAACCTCGACAAAACCCCCCTTTTTCGATTTTTTCGGCCATTTTGTGTCATTTTTCCACCAAACCAACAACAAACCCACCCTTCCTACACCAAAAGCGGCCTATCCCTCCATTTTGAGCGGATTTGGCCGACGTTTTTGTCACCAGAGGCGATTTCCGGCGAGACTCCGGCGAGGCTCCGACGAGCACTTCCGGGCACTTTTTCGGCTTTTCGTCGCTTCCATCGCCTTCCCCTCATCATCCCCTACACCTCTACTTGAGTCTCCAGGTTTGATTTTGCCCTTAACTATGTTAATTTTGGAGAATTGGGTGTTAGGTTGCACGTTTAGAGAACCTCATTGAATCTTGTGATTTTCGTGCAATTGATTGAGGGGAATGCATGGAGTGTGTTTGAATTGTGTTGGGCAAAGTCCCTCTTAATTGTTTGAGCCCTTGTGTGCAAGAATTGTGCCAATTTCATGCTTACCTTAATAGTGCACACAAGGTGTTCGATGAAATGCCTGTTTTCGTACCATTTTGTGGGGGTCGGTTGGGGCCCTTAATGATGTGCTTTGAGGGTGTATTTGGTATGAATGTGAACCTTGAGTTGCCTACTTGTTCATGGATTTGCACCCTCACTTGGATTATGCTTGATTTATCGAGTTTCTGACCCCCGAACTATGGATGAAACCATGGTTAGGCTGTTTTCTGTTCTTAAGTGTGGGGTGTGATTAACATTTTCCTTGGCTGTTTTGGTTCCACTTTGGGCTGTTCTTTTGCAGGACCATGTCGAAGCCCAACCTCCGGCACCAGTTTGTTCAGGATTTGAGAAAGGGGCCCCACCGGGATCGTTTTCAGAACGTCCTGGCCTGCAAGTTTGGGCAGCATCATTACTGGTCCAAGCGCGAGTTGGAGAAGCTCAACTGCTACGAGCATCTCTCCCCTGTTGTCACCAACAAATACGTCCTGGCCTACTAAACGAGATACTTTAATCCAATTACTACTGAATTAATACTAAAATATCAAATAAACAATTAACGGTGTTTTTTGGTTGCAAATATTGATATCACCATTACTATTAGCTATAATACTTTACCAATTATGATTAATTACATAACAAGTTTGCAAGTCATACAAATTGATTTAACATTTTGACTAGTTTTTTTTTTCAAAAAAATAAAGTATATATATACGAGGTAGAAATAAATTGGTTAAAAAGTTGAGAAAATATTTTAAATTAGTGTAATAAAATGTGTAAGTTGGTAATGAGTAATGAGTTAAGTTACTTGAAGCGCTGGCCCGAACAACCCGAAACCCGACCCGTCCGACCCAAAACCCGGTGAACCTGCAACCGGATTTGCCCGCAACCCGATTGAATCCGAACCCGATGAACCCGCAACCCAACTAACCCGCAACCCGTTTGAACCCGAACCCGATGAACCCGCAACCCGATTAACCCACAACCCATTTGAATCCGAATCCGATTGAACCCAGCCCGAACCCGCCCGATTGACACCTATACTAGTAGGCACTAGCTAGCAAAAAACTCCATGGGAGACCATTCCACCTTTCTGCTTCTCTTCTAATCTTTTCGGAAGAGAAGCTCTGTCGCTTTTCTCCCCTCCCCTCCTTTCCCTTCACTGTTTCGCTTCCCGGCCATTGCCTTTGATTTCTTGCTCGCGGGATTCGAAATCATAAACAAATAAAGGAGAGCCCAAGCTCTAAAATATGCCCCCGGATCATCCCCTCCGCAGCTCCTACTCGGCCGTTGTGCTGTTTGTGCTTCTGTGCTGCTGGCCTGCTTCAGGTGATGACAAACATGCACTGCTGGAGTTTAAATCTGCCCTGACTAGAGACCCTTTAGGGCTTACGTCCAGTTGGGACCCCAAGGATCCCGACCCGTGTTCCTGGCAAGGCGTTACCTGCGACTCGCTTTCCCGGCGAGTTACGGCTCTCCAGCTTTCCTCTCGCGCCGACGACACCGCCTGTTCTCTGCTCTCACTCCCACCTAGCTCCACCACTGCTGCGAATGGTAACTTCTCTCTGCTCTTTCCTTGTTTAGGAGTTAACCTTGATGCTCTGCCGAAATTGCAAGGCAAATTGTCGCCTAAGCTTGCCCAGCTTTCTCAGCTTACGACACTGTCCTTCTCGTTTAATGATTTGTCCGGGGAGTTGCCTCCGGAGATTGGCCAACTTCAGTCCTTGGAAGTTCTTGACTTGGGGTTCAATGTTTTTCATGGCTCTATACCCTTTGCCCTCCAGAATTCTTCTTCCTTGCGTGTGATTAATCTGTCCGGGAATCAGCTGAATGGTACCATTCCGGCATTCTTTCACCAATTGAGGGCTGTGTAAGTTGTTGCATTGTCGTTTAATCTGTTGAGTGGTTCGATCCCATTGGAAATAGGAGATAATTGTGGTAGCCTGGAGCATCTCCTTCTTAATGGTAATTCGCTAACAGGTTCTATACCTCTGAATCTAGGAAGTTGCAGAGAGCTGCGCTCTTTATTACTGTCTTCAAACTTGTTGCAAGATGATGTTCCTTCAACTCTTGGGAATTTAATAAATCTGGAAGTGCTTGTTTTATCAAGAAACTTCTTAAGTGGGAACATCCCTCCGGAGTTAGGAAACTGTCAGCAGTTGAAGCTGCTTGTATTGAAAAATACGTATGGCCTTCTCTGGTCCAGAGGTCCTGCAAGCTCAAATATTGATGAAGAGGAAAGAGGCGAGGGCGAGTTCAACTACTTCGATGAAAACTTGCCTGGAAGCATCTTAAAGCTCCCTAATCTCCGTGTGCTGTGGGCACCAAACTTAAATCTGGAGGGCAGCTTTCCGCAAACCCTGGGTCCTTCCTGCAATTTGAAGATGCTGAATTTGGCTGGAAATTATTTTTCAGGAGAAGTACCAGTGTCCCTTGGTAATTGTTATGGCTTGACTTTTCTTGATTTGAGTTCCAACAACTTTACCGGGCCACTTCCTTCAGAGCTCTCCGTCCCATGCATGGTTTTCTTCAATGTTAGTCATAACACTTTATCGGGTGCTATTCCAAGATTCTCTAGTAGTCGCTGTGGAAATGTGTCTACTGACGTGCTTATTTCACTTGGGAATGCACTTGGTTTCTACTCCTCCTTCTTCTATGCTAATGCTGTCAGGGGTATTCCATCTTTCAGTTTTCCTTCTAGTGATTTGGCTGTTCTGCATGATCTGAGGAATAACCTCTTCACAGGTCTAGTTCCTGCCCTATTCATTGCTTCAGAAAGCTTCCCTCGTAAAACATACTATGGATTTTGGTTGGCTGGTAACAACTTTGGTGGAAATATAACTACTTTCTCGTTTGACCCATGTTCTAACTTGAATGGCTTGGTGTTTGATGTTGCGAACAATAAAGTTGTTGGTGAACTGCCTTCAGCCATCGGAACTAATTGTAAATGCCTGGGGTTTCTTAGTATGGCAGTAAACAGTTTAATTGGTTCAGTTCCTCAGAGCTTCGCTTATCTTGATTCTCTGGTGTATCTTAATCTGAGCAGTAACAGACTGCAAGATACTATACCATCCTACTTTGGGCAGATGAAAACTTTGAGGGTTCTGTCAGTGTCTAGCAACAATTTTTCTGGGTCTATACCGTTAGAATTGGGCCAGCTGTCTGCATTGGAGGTTTTAGATCTGTCTTCTAATTCTTTGTCCGGAGAGATGCCTCTTGATCTTTCAAAACTTGAACATCTCGGTGTTCTGCGGTTGGATCGTAACAATCTTTCTGGGAAGATACCCTCTGGATTCAGCGACACGACTTCTCTATTGGTACTTGATGTGGCCTTTAACAATCTATCTGGACCCCTTCCCCTGAATTCAAATTTAGTTAAATGTGACAATTTTAGAGGAAATCCTAATCTGCAGCCATGCCATGGTGACACATCAACCCCTGAATGGGAGCAGGAGCATTCTAGCAATGTGTCTCAGCAACAGGCTAATACTCCCTCTGGAAGCAACCCACCGAGGACTCGTTTGAATCCGATAGAAATATCCTCCATCACATCAGCCTCGATCATTGTTGCTGTTCTCATTACTTTAGCTATTGTGTTCTTCTGTTTAAGGAAATTTTCCTTTTGTTCTACTTCTGGCCATGGGTCAGGGGTAAAAGAGGTTATAACCTTCAATGATATTGGTGTACAGCTGACATATGAAAATGTGGTAAAGGCTACTGGAGGTTTCAATATTCAGTATTGCATTGGAAGCGGAGGGTTTGGAGCAACATACAAAGCCGAGATTGTTCCTGGACTTATGGTGGCAGTCAAGCGGTTGTCAATTGGGAGATTCCAAGGATTTGAACAATTAAGTGCTGAGATTAGAACTCTTGGAAGGGTGCAGCATCCGAACCTTGTGAAGCTTATAGGTTGCCATGTTAGTGAGTCTGAAATGTTCCTTATATACAACTACTTGCCAGGTGGTAATCTTGAAAAGTTCATCCAGGAGAGGTCCAGGAGAGCCGTGGAATGGAGCATGCTTCACAAAATTGCTCTTGATATTGCCCGCGCCCTAGCTTATTTGCATGATGAATGTGTGCCTAGAGTACTGCACCGTGATATCAAGCCGAGTAACATATTGCTGGACAATAAGTTTAATGCATATCTTTCTGATTTTGGTCTTGCTAGGCTCCTTGGCACTTCTGAGACCCATGCTACAACTGATGTGGCTGGAACTTTTGGATATGTTGCTCCTGAATATGCAATGACATGTCGTGTCTCTGACAAGGCCGATGTGTACAGTTATGGTGTTGTTCTTCTAGAATTAATGTCTGACAAGAAAGCCCTGGATCCTTCATTCTCTTCCTTTGGTAATGGCTTCAACATTGTCGGCTGGGCATGCATGCTTCTTCGGCAGGGTCGAGCATCTGAGTTTTTCATGGCTGGTCTATGGGATTCTGGAGCTCATGATGATCTGATCGAGATTCTTCACTTAGGGATTATGTGTACTGGTGAAACTTTTTCATCTAGACCTTCCATGAGACAAGTGGCTCAGCGTCTGAAGAGGATTCAGCCTTCAATCATCTTAACATAAATTTTGCGACTACCCATCTAATATTGTAAGTATATGCTGTAATCTAATGATTTGTAATTTTTTCCGTATCCAAAAGTTCATTGGCATTGTATTCAGTTGATCGACATTTCTTTGCACAAATTTTGTATTCGTACATGAAAATTTGCATTTTCTTACTGGAATCTCATTCAATGACTTCAATGTTCTCAATGTAGCTGCTTGGGCCACAGCCACGATCAAGTTAATGTTTCACTGACTTCTGTCAGTTTTGTTCAATTCCACTGCATATAATAGAAAGATAACATATGGGAATTGCCAAGAGTACCTTTTTTGAAGTGCCCCTTTTGTTGTGTTGCAAATGCAATACGAGCGTTTACAGATTGAACAGTGGGCAACTGGGAGTCAGAAAGTAGAAAGTGGAGAGTGATATTCTAATGCATTTACATCTACTTAGTATAGAACACCTAGGTATGGCTTTAACCAGAAGTATCTGCTGCAATTTTATTCCTGTATTTCGAAGCTTCAAACTTTTGATGAAACTCTGATTGCTTAGGATGGCGAGAGTTTCTGATTGAGTTCTCCAAGCTCGGATGGCATTACTGGGTGTATAAACCATTAACACAAGGCTGGCTCTCCTTCCATGGTTCTCTACTGAGGAAGATTGTTGGAAAGTCCGGTGAGATTTTTTCTTTCTCAAACGCATGTTCAACGTTACAATTCTAAATAACGAGCTGATGTAAACAATTAATTGCGAACTGGTTTCGTCTTTCTATGAATATTTTTGTACATTCCGGGACCTGTGGCATTGATCTATTCGTGAAAGACAAAATTTATAACCTCTTCCTCACCAGGCTCAGCTTGATCTGTGTCTAAGTCTTGATTCTACATCCATAAGGTGTTTTTTATGTTGGACTCAAGTGATAGGAAAAGTTAGGTAATAGCATTAAGGTATTGTTACCATGCTTAAACCAATATGGGGCATGAAGCAGGTAGACTAGTATTTGTTTTTATTGGTTGACCAATTACCCCCAATTTCTGTTGGCATGATAATAATCTGATGTTGTTACCCTACCTTTTGCCCCCTCAAGTGATTCCCTGCCCTATGCTTTCGCTGCAAGAATCTACGACTGTGATGTTTACAAACCAGTGAAGAACACCTACAATACAAGTAGACTATATTCTGCCCAGTCCCAAGTTCTGTAGTGCAAAATAAATGTATTTGTCTCAATTGCATGCTAATGTGAGTTGTATTTCCAAAACCATTGTGGTTTAGTACTACTGTCCGAGAACTTGTGCTATAGAAGTGAAAAAGGCAAGCAGTCCGAATTAAGATTGCTTGTAAGCATGTTTATAATGTTGATATTTGTGCGAGTTGTACTCTGCCTGGAATTCTGGGCTGTCATTTTTAATTATACCCTTACCACATCATTTCAGGAGTTCGTTCAGGTGCTTTTGTTAGCGAAGCTAGGTAGTTGGTTCCTTTGAGCTCGGAGTCGTAAAAGTTGCGTGACCTAGTAAAACCAAGGTAAGGTTTATGCCCGGTGGATAGTACTTTTTATGATAAAACCAGTTTATTTGACATGCAAAGCACGTGGAAAAGGTTGTTGAATGAGTTTATGTCACGGTCAGAAGAGGAGAGGCAAAAGTGAAAACAGTTTGCCTTTCAGAGTGCTAATGTGCCTGGTAGTGGCGGAAGAAGCAGTGCGACTCCTTTTCGCCAGTAATGTTCTCAACGTCAAACTTTAACATCTTGCTTTGATCAAGACCTTGCTTGAGGAGCAACGTAAAAGAGAGAGCAGTGACTTGTTAGATCTGGTCGAGAGCTAAGAGTTGGCAGCTCAGTTAAGTGCTGATGCTGGTTGCCACTTGGAAATGCAGCAACGGTGACCCTGGAAATGGAGACAATCACACAGGCAGGGAATAGTGGATCCTTTCCCAACCTATGCAGGGCAAGTTAAAGGTATTTCGCCTCCAACTATCACTCAGATTCCCCTGTTGTTCCCTTCTACCTTTTTCTTATAACACAAGTCAGTTTTGAATGACAGATTCGAAAGGAAGAGGAAATGAGGAACTTGCCGATGCAAACCTGCGTCCTTTCGTTCAATGCTTTGGTAACCCTTTAACGGACTCATTGGCGTCCCTTGTCAATTGTACTACAATTCCTATTTGTATAAGTGAACACATGGCTAGAGAAAAAAGGTGAAGTTGATGGTTTTTGGGAAACTAGTCACATCCCGGCCAGTTGACCGGATTTGGTTGTCAATCACTTAAATAACTGTAGCAATTTGTATTCGAGTTTCACTTTCGTACAAGAAATTCCATGTTCTTCAAATACACTAAACATTCGAATCGATTTGGAGAATAAGAGAATCCAAATTATTAAAAAAGTTCAATAATTCGAAAGGATAAATATTGTACTGTTTTCCGACATATTAATGAATAATCAACTAAAATCTTTTTACAAAAATGAATGGAACCCAATGCAAGGGAATCAACTCATAAAGACCAATTAAAATAACCCTTCTAATTACTCATCGTTAGAGATTAGTGCACGTTTTCTTTTAGACTTGTTTGCATTTCCTCCAGCATGAGCAACAAACTCATCTCAACATTTAATAATGTCTTCATCTCCTTTAGTGACAAATTTATCTCCAATATCAATTGACTATTACTTCTTCTCTTGCATTTCATTGTAACTAATGCTTTTGATATTGATCATGTCTTGTGTTTGGTGGTTAAGGAGAATGGTGTGCTAGGCATTGTTGGGCTCTCTCTTTCTCCTCCTCCTCCTCTTGCAACAGATGAGGCAAACGCATCGGAGCATATTGTTGAGCAAATGGTCGATGAGACTCTGGAACAACCTGCACAACCTCACCAAACTACGACTCAAGCCAGAACATCCACCGACATATACTTATCCCATTTGGAGGCATTGGGTCGGCAGAATGCCCAAATCCTGGAGCAAAATGCACTCATTCTCTCCCGCCTCGATAGAGAAAATGAAGCTCGGCGCTACATCATCAAATGCAACATCACATCATGATGTCCTTGAGGATTGACTACAAAATATTCCCAAGACCTTGGGAATTATCTCTTAAGCCAACCGAGGAAAGCAATGAAGAGGGCAGTGAAGACTGAAGAGGATGACGATGAGCAAAACAAGGAAAGCAATGAAGAGGAAAAATGCACCAACGAGGAAGAGGTAGTGAAGAGGATGGCGAGGGAACTGACGATGATCAAAACAAGGAAAGCAATCAAGAGGACAAAGGGACCAATGAGGAAGAGGGTAGTGAAGACGATGACGAGGGCAATGACGATGACCAAAACAAGGAAAGCAATCAAGAGAACAAAGGGACCAATGAGGAAGAGGGCAGTGACTCTAGCGAGGGCAATGAAGATGAGCAAATCCAGGAAAACAATGACGAGGACGAGAGCACTGACAAGGAAGAGGGGCAGTGAAGATGAGCCAATCAAAGTCCTTAGTACTTAGCTACGTGTGTTTGTGTGTTTTTCAATTACAATATGATGATGTACCGGTGTGGGCTACATGCAGCTAAACTTAAGCATTAATTAGACAGATTTAATCTTGTTATGGATGCTTGTTTTATTAGACAAATGTAATGCTTTGACTGCTTTTACTTTTGTTAACAGGGTATCTCATCTTATATGATGTACTGTTACTAGCTATGTTCCTACTTAAGTCATGGAAGGTTGTTTCCTGAGCCCTTCTAGTGTGGAGACTCAAGATCTGTTCTACTTCCCAAACGATCCAAGCACAACATGTAATGCAAGTGTTCAGCTTGAAAGAACATTATGTCTCAACTTGTCATGTTTGTTTTCTCGAAGTTAGTATCTAGTCACATTGAACGGATTTATGTAATGTTGGTGTCTAGCTTTAGAGAACATATGAATCATCTATTTCATAAGCTTGAAGTTCTGGAAAACAATCCATTATGCTTGAAACACCATTATAATAAGTACAGGGGATAGTTTTAAAGGTGAAAGTCTCCAACTGGAAATCTAACACCTCATACTGGTAATCTGACGACCGAAAAATACTCTAATGAGATGTAAAAAGCAGTGCTTCATTCCCCAGGAAAATCTCACGGCCGTGAGATGTCCCGTGAGAGGCAAAGAGCAGTTTTCACTATCCCAAGAAATTTTACGACTTCTACTTGACATTCTCACGCCTGTCAAAGTCTCACGTGAAATTGAAACACACAGCTGCCGGTCAAATGATCTCACAGCTCATTCTGGCAAAATAACGGCCGTGAAATTCAATTGTACCTACACTTTCTAGGGTTGTACCTATACTTTCCCAAAAATCCCTCTATGGTACAATTCAAAATTGTACATATAGACTATGGTACAACATAAAGTTAGACCTACACTTTGTAACAAATCTTTCTATGGTACAACTCAAAACAATACCTATAATTTAGGGTAAATACAATTTAATATCCAAACCTTTTATTTTAAACAATATAATAGCCAAACCTTTTCGAAAATAAATTAATATCCAAATCGTCAACTTTCTGACTGTTTGACCGTTAGTTGACACTTCAAAAAAGTTCGAAGTACGACACTTCATCAATATCCATCGATATCTTCTCTGAAAAACCACTAACATATCGTAGTTCCAAACCCGAGAAGTCCATGACTCCACTATGATGGTATAGAATATCTAAATATTCAATCATCTGCAATGCCAAAACAAGAAACAAAGTTGTATTGTGACAATTTCCCCTAAACAAAGCTTTTTTGAAGTGTCAACTGACGGTCAAACGAACGGAAAGTTGACTATTTGGATATTAGATTGTTTTTGAAAAGATTTGGCTATTATATTGTTTAAAATGAAAGGTTTGGATATTAAATTGTATATACCCTATAATTTATGGTACAACTTTAAGTTGTACCTACACTTTCTAACAAATCTCTCTATGGTACAACTCAAAATTGTACCTATATTAGTGGTACAACCTTATGCTGTACCTACACTTTCTAAAAATTCTTCTATGGTACAACCCAAACTTGTACCTATATCATGGTACAACTTAAAGTTGTACCTACACTTTCTAATGAATCCCTCTATGGTACAACTCAAAATTGTATCTATACTTATGGTACAACTTAAAGTTGTACCTACACTTTCTAAAAATCTTTCTATGTACAACCCAAACTTGTACATATACTTGTGGTACAACTTAAAATTATACCTACACTTTCAAACAAATCCCTCTTTGGTACAACTCAAAATTGTACCTATACTTGTGGAACAACCTTATGTTGTACCTACACTTTCTAAAAATCCTTCTATGGTACAAGCTAAACTTGTACGTATACTTGGGGTACAACTTTAAGTTGTACCTACACTTTCTAACAAATTCCTCTATGGTTCAACTCAAAATTGTACCCAGCGGCGGATCCAGAACACAGAAGAGCACTGAGCCGCTTTTCATTAGAAAATTAGAACCGTAAAAAATATAATGATTATAGTTTTTTGCAATGTAAATTGTACACAACTGTATTTTAATTTAGGGAATGCATCAATAATGAAGTCTACATCCATACCAATAGTATACACTGTTTCAAATAAAATACGTGAGCAATCGGTGAGAAATTCATCGCTCATTTTGTTGAGCAAATCAGTTCTCACATGTTTCATTGTTAAAAAGGTTCTCTTCGTAGTAGCTGTTGAGACGAGCAACATTAACACTAGATAAATCAATCGACTAATCAATTTACATTGTGTGTCCATCCATGCACACCAACTGCTTTAGTAAATTTGTAAGGGAACAAACCTCATATTTCATTTAGTCTTTTACGTTTTTAACTTTTTAGAATTTTAGGTTTCATTGTTTTTTTAAGACGCATAATATTTTGGGGCTAAAATTTCTAGGCTAAATTTAGAATAGTGATTTGAATATGTTCAACTTGATAATTTTTCTAGTTAAACCCAATCTTATTATAGAATAACACTCGATTGAATGTCTAAAATCAAAAATTTCATAAGGACTATAGTAACTAGTGATCCAGAGGAGGGCTGGGCCGGGGCCTGGGGTGGCCACCCCTGGATCCGCCAGTGATCGTACCTATACACGTGATCAGTGTTATAAAAGGCGCAATTAAGCGTCCGATTAAGCGTGAGTTGGCGCTGGGCGGCCATAGACCGCCTCGCTTATGCATTAAGTGGTAGAAAAAGCGTACGTGCATATGAATATCCACCTGGAGAAACTAAAGGGAAATTGCGGAAGTTTTGCGGTTCACTTTCCATTATTATATATAATAACATGCAAACCGTAGGGCTAAACCATGGGTTATGCATCCATCAGTAACTAAATCTGGACCTTTTATTTAGAAAATTAAGATCTAAGGATTGAGAATTAAAGGTCATTTTTATTTATTTTTGTTTTCTTAATCGGCTCCTATCTCCTTCGTTTTAACTCGGATTTCAATTTTTTTTTTTTTGCACAGATGGAATGAGTTCGTTGTGCTCTACAAAATGAGATCAATTTTCAATATTTTTTTAGGAAAAAAAATTCTTGCCTCTCGATACCAACTGCATACCATATGGTATCTTCTTCGTTTTTAATTCGGTTTAGAAAACGTTTGCACAGAAGGAACAAGTTCATCATGATCTATTGGATCTACAAATTTCTGGGTGAAGAAATTACAGGACAAAAAAATACCACACAATACCACAATATACCACCCTGATACGGAGTGATATCTTGTGGTATACAGTGTTAAAAGTCGTAAATGATAGTTAATATACTTCTACTATCATGTATTCAACCATCCTACAGTCTTGGTTTGTTCATACCACCATGGTACGCTTTTCAAACAATAAGTATGCTCTTATTTCAATACCAGTCAAAACCATTTGGTATAGACTGGTAAAAAATGGCTCAATTTTTTTTGTTCCAAAAATATATCAAAGTGGATATCATTTTGAAGAGCACAATTAATCTGATCTAATTGTGCAAAATAAAAATTAAATTTCGACTTAAAACGAGTGAAAAATCGTCCGTCAAAGATTAAGGAAGGGAAAATTAAAGACTTTTCAGAAGAGAGAAGGATGTTGATCTCATGCTGATGTGGACGGGTTACTCATGATTACTCACCACAAGGTTACTGACCTGATCCGTTCCCAAACCGTAGTTAACATATACACGAACGTGTACAAAATTAAAACTAATTAACTAATAATTATCACCAGGTAAGGTGCTTGGATTATCCTCACCAATAATTAGATAATTACGTGCTTGTTCTCTGTTCCTGCATGTATAGTGAATTAGTTATTATGGAGTAAGTTACAGTACTTATACGCCTAGAGTTTTATATGTTATTACGAGTTATGATCTAACATTATGTTTGAACATTTGGCTTCACTAATAATAGGTAGCAATTTATAATTAAGAAATTAATATAGATATAAACTAATTAAATCATCAATTTAATCCTTTTAAATATCAGTATTAACCTTGTATCGTGCATAATACGTGAAGTATCAAAAGAAACGAGGTTGTTAAGTACGATTTTATTCATCCTATTGCTTGTTGTTAAGTGTTAACTAAGTTATTAACTATGTACACAAATATGTGAAAGTGCTTTAATATTTCTAGTTCATTCATCATTTACTAAACACGACTATTTTCGCTTCCAACATCTAGGCGCGTCTAGGCGACGCTTAGGCGCTATGCAGGGTCCCACGCTCGCCTTACGCTTAACGCTCTCTTGAACCTTGCATGTGGCACAACCTTATGTTTTACCTACACTTTCTAAAAATCCTTCTATGGTAAAACCCAAACTTGTACCTATACCACTTTCTAACAAATCCCTCTATGGTACAACTCAAAATTGTACCTATACCAATGGTACAACCTTAAGTTGTACCTACACTTTTTAAAAATCCTTCTATGATACAACCAAAACTTGTACCTATACCTATGATACACTTTCTAAAAATTCTTCTATGGTACAACCAAAACTTGTACCTATACTATGGTAGAACTTTATGTTGTACCTACACTTTCACAAAAAACTCTATGGTACAACCTCAAATTATACCTACACTTTTGGAGTTGTACCTACACTTTGTGAAATACATTCTTCAATGGTACAACTGAAACTTGTACTTATACGATATGGTACAACTGTAATTTCTACAAACACTTGTATACATTGATTTATTATTTACAAGATTGCCATTAATGATATAGGACCAGTCATTTAGTGTGTTTACCTCTCCAACATGTCATTTTTTTTTGGTTTTATAGTATGGGTGCTATAGAGCACACTAGAAGACCTCATATGTTTTATGGGTTCGTTGTACTCTTTTTCAAGTTACGCTTTTTCAGAATCTCTGTTTGTTGGATTGTATTATGCTCAAGCATATTACTAAATCGTTGCACCATGCAAATGCCACCGACATGTATATTTAACCCTTAATATTTAGTGTTCTGTTTAACTGTCCATAACAAATCAC